AGAAAGGAAGGAGGAAGGAAGGAAGGAAGGAAGGAAGGAAGGAAGGAAGGAAGGAAGGAAGGAAGGAAGGAAGGAAAGTAAACTTTCTTTGTCACATTGTTTTCTTGGCAAGGTTTTGGGCTTCCAGAAAACATTTTTTTTTTTTAAATTGAAAACCTGAGCATTTACCGGAGATTGATTTTGCAAAGAAACATCCTAGCCATTAATCTTGGCATGAGCTAAGACACCAATAGTTCAGAAATAGTTCAGAAACCTTCCGAAGTACGGCGACAAGAGCATCGTAGACAATGAAATAAGAGGGGGAGACGCAGCCTTATAGCCAACGAAGCATTGCCCTGCAGTGGGGGGGGGGGCAGAGATGCAGGGAAAGACGGAGGAGCAGAGAAAAGCCCTGGAATATTGAAATTTCTGTTTAACCCCCAAAGCTGCTTTAGCCTCTGAGCTGAGCTAATGCTGGAAGGAGAAAGGGGAAAAAAAATATGTGTGGTTTTCTTCCTCCCGTCAGAAAATAATACTTTAAAAACCTCATTGTCTTTACAGTAAGTATTAAAGAGAACCCCCTTGAGAATAAATTGCCTCCTTGACAATGATAGTAAAGCTTGGTGTTATTTTTGCGTTTACTGGCACTTGGCTAAGTTGTTGGCAAAATTCCCATGCTGATATATAGCGGTAGCGTGTTCTGCATCCATACAAGTTGCGTGTTCAAATAGTCCGACTCGCCTTGTTAAAAGCAAAAAACGACGGGTGGCACCCGCGCATGGATTTATTTACGGGCCTTCCTCACATCCTGGACATAGACACTACAGAGTGTGGTGAGCACAGCCCAAAACATAGTGGGGTGTTCCCTGATACCACTAGATGACCTCGCTAGGGCTCGCTGCCTTAGAAGAGCAAAGAAAATCCTCAGGGACGACTCGCACCCCAGTCAGCACTTCCTCACTCTCCTACCATTGGGTAGGAGATAGAGAAGCATAGCCAGCCACACCAACAGGCTGAAGAACAGTTTCTACTCGTGGGCTGTCAGACTCCTGGACGGAAAATAACTTCATGTCAACATAGTATGATAAACTTGCGGGCGTGTTGTGCAACAAGGTCACCCAGTGTAATAAGATTGGGACTGGGTTAGGGACTTCTGCCCACACTGTGAGTTGTGTTGCGGGTGGGGTGCATGAACAAAGGTTCAGCCAAACTCATTGTACACATGTTGTACTCTGACAATAAAGGTATTAATAATAATAACTGTTTCAACTCCTTTCCTCAAAATGACGCTATAGAGCCCTGCACACCAGAACAACTAGACACAAGGACAGTTTTTTCCCAAAGGCCATCACTCTGCTAAACAAATAATTCCCTCAACAATAATTATTTGCCATCACTCTGCTAAACAAATTATTCCCTCAACAATAATTTTTGCCATCACTCTGCTGAACAAATAATTCCCTCAACAATAATTATTTGTCATCACTCTGCTAAACAAATAATCCCCTCAACACTCTCCAACTATTTACAAAGTCTGCACTACTATTACTATTAATCTTCTCATCACTCCTTATCACCCATCCCCTCCCACTTGTGATTGTATGACTGTAACTTTGTCACTTGTACCCTTACGATCTATATTGACTGCTTCCTAGTATGATTTGATTGCTTATTGTACCCAATGACTATCATTAAGTGTTGTACCAGATGATTCTTGACTCTTGACGAATGTCTCTTTTCTTTTATGTACACTGAGAACATTTGCACCAAGCCAAATTCCTTGTGTGTCCAATCACACTTGGCCAATAAAGAATTCTATTAATATTCTATTTGTAAGCTGTTTTGATTTGATTTGGACCAATGGTGGGCTGCAACCGGTTTAACAACCAGCTCTGTGAGCTCACACCACACACGCAGCATTCAATAAACACCCATTTGAACCTTTCCAGCTCACCTTCTAGCTTTCCCCGGTAAGTAGAACAACTGAGGTGCGGTAATCCACTTCGCCATGCAAATCAGCTGAGCTGCAAAAGAAGGAAATGTAAGGCGGGATGGGGCAGGGGCAGGGGTGGGGCCAACTGATTGTCGTTCAGACCAGTTCAAGCCCGCCACTGATTTGGACTTTAGAAATGAGGACTGTTAAGATATTGAAGATTTAAGAGCTGACCAGCTGCTGTAAGACTGCTGTAAATGCTGTTACAATGAGAATGAGTCAGCAGGGTTATTGCTGCTTTAAGAAGCTGTCTGTATAAGGGCAGCCATGAGAGGGCATATTTCTCTCTCCTCATCTTCTATCTCCATTGTAGTTCTCTGTGCAGAGTAATGAAGACTGATTGATTGCCTGGGGTGTGCCTAACACATGTGTTGGTGTGTGTGTGTGTGTATTTATGTATGTATTTATATGTATATACTGTGTTTCTCACAAAATAAGGCCGGGCCTTATTTTGTTTTAACCCCCCCAAAAATGGTTAGGCCGTCTTTTGGGGGGTGGCTTAATTCCCCCGCTTGCATCCTTGGGAGGGTGGGCAGTGATGGCTTGGATGTTGACCTCGGTGTTGGTGGTGCCTGCCTGCCAACCGAAAGAGCCAGGCCGAACTGAGCTTGGCTTCCTTCCCAAGTCCCTCCAGCCACTGGGAGAGGCTGCCCAAGGCAGTGATAGCGCCCACCCATCTGTGGAGAGGGAGTCAAGACGACGACCTGCGCCATGTCCTCCTCTGAGCTGAGCTCCGCCGAGTGAGCACCTCGGCCCGATGCCCGTGCCGCTGCAGCGTTTGGAGCTGCTGGCACATTTGGAGATGTGTGGGGATGGGGACAGGCTGGGCAAGAGGACAGGCGGTTTCAGGCTCTCTCTGTCGGACCTGCTGGCCAGAGAAGCAGCGCTGCTGTCGCCTTGCCTCCCCGTCCACAGACAGGTGGGCGCTATCACTGCCTTGGGCAGCCTCTCCTGGTGACCCCTTCATGTTCAGGCTGGAGGGACTTGGGAAGGAAGCCAAGCTCGGGTCACCCCGGCTCTTTCGCTTGGCAGGCAGGCGCTCACCCATGGCTCGCTTTCCCAGCTCTGCCCAGCCCACACAGCTCTGGCACAGCCCTGGTGGGATGAGTGGAGGGCCCGGCGGGGAGGCACTTGCTGCCTTGGCGAGAGCTCTGCCACCAGGCAGGAGGGCCCACCTGTCAGCTGTGCTGGGCACCCCAGGTGAAGCTCTTCGTGCTCTGCCCAGCGCCAGGCAGGGATGGCGGCTGGGAGCTTCTCCTGGGGTGGGCCAATCCTGCGCTGTGGCCCCGGGAGATTTGCCTCCCCATGTGGAGTTGAGCTGCCCTCTCAGGCAGAGGAGGCTTTGTCGTACTGGTAGTAGGGTATCGTTTTTAAAAGAATTGGCTTTGCCTTTGAAGGCGAAGGGAACGCGGTGACAGGAGAGCCTGAAGCCGGGTGTCTCCGCCGGGCTCCGGTTGCAGGGAGGGGCCTTGGCTGGCTGCGCATGGCTGTGCCAAATGCCACGGCATTGCTCTAAATGGTAGCACAGGGAGAAGAGTAAGCAACGGTGGCAGAAGGTCTCCCGATACGAAGCGCCCCACCAACACCAAAGTCAACGCAGGCAGCACCATATCCGGGTATGCAACAAAAGTACTTCCTAATGGCAAGCCCCCCCTCCGCCATTCCCCCCCATTTCACATGTTTAATATAGGCCTTAATTTGGGGTGGCTTAATTTGATTTTATGCCTATAAAACATGCTGGGACTTCCTATTGGGGGAGGCCATCGTGTTGGAGAAACAGGGTAGCAGTCTTGTATATAAACCACTGTTAAAAGACAAACTCTCTGTGTGCTGTGTTGTGCTCCTGGGTTGTCTCACAATAGGAGTCATGCTGCAAACACTTGACAAGGGCCATTAAGTAAACAGGGTTTACTTACTCATTACGTAGCCTTTGAAAATCTAGATGCAACCCTGAAAGTCTATTCACAGGGTTGAACAATGATATATTTGGAAGCGGAGCATATCAAGGCCGATTGGCATTCTTACTGGTCTCAAGGTCAGTAAAACGAAGCTGTATAGAGCATTGCACACCAGAACTACTAGACACAAAAACAGTTTTTTCCCCAAAGCCATCACTCTGCAAAACAAATAATTCCCTCAACACTGTCCAACTATTTACTAAGTCTACACTAATATTACTCTTCATCTTCTCATCACTCCTTATCACCCATCTCCTCCCACTTGTGACTGTATGGCTTGTATCCTTATGATTTATATTGACTGTTTCCTAGTATGATTTGATTGCTGATTGTACCCTATGACTATCATTAAGTGTTGTAATTGATCATTCTTGACTCTTGACGAATGTATCTTTTCTTTTATGTATACTAAGAGTATTTGCACCAAGACAAATTCCTTGTGTGTCCAATCGCACTTGGCCAGTAAATTATTCTATTCTAAATATGCAAAAACTCACATGAAAGGCACAAGAGATGATCTGGAAAGGCTTAGCAATGGCTTGGGGGAAAAAAAATCACTATATTCAGTGATCAGACAGGATCCTGCCAGCATGAAGAACTACAAGGTAGAAGGATCCATCAAGACAGCTAAGGAGGCTGGGGGGTGGATTTAACACTTTCCAATTCTTAATCCTTTCCCATCTCGTGTCTAGGTTAACAGCAGTAAAGGTAGTCATACATATATTCATACATGCAGAACAAAGCCGGATGGGACCTTGGAGGTCTTCTAGTCCAACCCCTGCTCAACCAGGAGGCCCTATACCAGTGATGGCTAACCACTTTGTCATCGTGGGCTGAAAGTCCATGTGTGGGTGTGCGACAGTGCACGCCAGTGCCTGCACCCAAAATGCAATAGGTGTGCGACCCACTCCCTCCACCCCAAACACATGCATGTGTGACCCACGGCCCCCGTTTTGGGCCTAGTAGGCCTCCCTACAGCCTCCTGGGAGCAAAAATGGGGCAGGGGGGTGGTGCAGGGCCCAAAATGGGGGAGTGTGGAGGGGCCATGCCGCAACACCCCCTGTGTTCCCCCTGGCCCCCATGAATGCACACGTATCTCCCACATATGTCCTGTCCCTGGTGCACGCGTGGCAGAGACCCCAAAATCAATCGGTCAGCGGGAAGTGTGCGCACGTGCATGGTGAAACTGAGCTTGGCTGATGGCTCGCGTGCCTGCGGAGAGGGCTCTGCTCTCACCTGTGGCCCGCGTGCCATAGCTCTGCCATCCTGGTCTAGATCCCTTGCTTGACCCAAAGGTTGGTCCCTTCCGGCTCTATTCTGATTGACTTACGGCAGTTTAGAATTGTGAACCCAGCCTCCAAAACTCTCAGTGAATGAATTTAGGTAAACTATAAGGGAGTTAACCAGCCAGTGGCTGTAACGGAGTAACTCACTCATTAAATTACTTCTTTGGCAAAGTACTTCCCCAACAGAAGTTAACTAAAAGGAAGCTTGCTCTATTCTTCAGCTGCAGTTCAGTGACTTTGATAGATTTATTGAATCTACATAGACACAGATCTCTGCTCTCTCCCAGTTTCAATTACGGTCCCGTGCCACAGACGTCTCTTAAGCCACCGAAAGACAGAATTTGAAGATATTCACGGGCTTGAGTCTAAATTCAGCAAGGCTGCCGTATCACTTCTGAAATCTTGCTGAACTAAGCCACTCAGAGTCATTTGTCAGTCCCCATTATGAGCCTTTGTTTTCTACTCTGCTTTCTAATCTTGATTTCAGGTTTTTTTTTAAACTCTCTTTTTCATCAGCTCAGCAGTTCCAAATGTTCCCTCATTATTCCTGGGGGGAGGCGGGGTGATTTCCCTTCCGTATTAATGGGCGTTTTAGGAAGCAGAGTTAGAACAAGCATCTGAGCAAGAAAAATAAAATAAAATTCATCAACCTTGGATTTCACATCCAAGGTCAGCTGAAGCATCCTGTTAAGTAACTTGTCCTGAAAAACATTTTGTCCTTGTGTTCTATGCAGTTTAATGTTAGCGTGTTGTTAACTGGAGAGGCGTTCTCTTGGTTAGAAAGAATTAGTTCACCCAGAACACAAAATTATGATTTACAAATGTCAGTGGCTGAGTTTAAGCTTAGAACAAGCCAGGTTTGGCTTTGTGTGAACCTGACCATATAGAATGTGCTTTTATGCAGCACAACTGCAAAACATTTGATCTACAGCTGTTCTCAGGTTAGCTTATGTCCTAGGCTCTGGTTAGTCCTTTAATTTAGTCCAATTATGTTGCTACTTTTTAATAATCCATTTTCTACCTCCATCAAAACAGGAAGTTTTTCTACGGTTGATCTGCATTGTACTGTTAACAAAGGGGAAAGTCCATATAATAACGCTACAGAAAAACAGAAAAACAGAGTTGGAAGAGACCTTGAAGGTCTCCTAGTCTCACCTTCTGCATTCATCAGGAGACTCTTTTCCATTCTGGACAAATGACTGTCCAATCTTTGCTTAAAAACCTCCAGTGCTGGAGCACCCAACAACTTCTGAAAGCAAGTTGTTCCACTGATTAATTGTTCTAACTGTCAGGAAATTTCTCCTTAGATCTAGGTTGGTCTTCTCCTTGATCATTTTCCATCCATTGCTTTGTCCTCACTTTGAGAATTTGGAGAAGAGCTTTTTTTTAAAAAAAAAAAAGCCTCCAGAGATGCACCCAAAATAACTGAAGGCAAACCATTCCACTGGTTTAGCTGAGTTGCGTTAGGTTGGGTTGGGTTGGGTTGAGTTGAGATGAATTAGGTTGGGTTGGGTTGGGTTGCATTGCATTGAGTTGTGTTGGTTCAGTTGGGTTGAGTTGAGTTGGGTTGAATTAGGTTGAGATGGGTTTTGGGATGGGATGGGTTGGATTGGGTTGGGTTGGGTTGAGTTGGGTTGAATTAGGTTGAGATGGGTTGGGTTGGATTTCCTCTGTGTTCTAGAATCTAGCACATTGGCTGGCCTCCTCCCCCTCTCCTGTTCTCTTCTCCCAAATGGAAATGCAGATTTAAAAAAAAATCCTTTGGACCATTCCCAAAAGATGTGAAATGAGCTCTACATTCGGTGCCAAGTTTTTCCCACAGCACCACACATCAGAATGAAATCTCAGGAACATGGTAAGTAAGAGAATAGTGTGGTGAAAAAGCCTCTTTGGCTTTCTGTACATTTCTCAAATACAATCTCTAGCATGGGGGAGCTCATTAAAAAAAATCTGTACATCATTTTTGTTCCCTCCTTCAAAGGGAATTCTGCCGTCGCTTTTGGGATGGGGGGGCGTTGAAACCCAGACAGGTGAAAACAAAAACCTGTTTTCTATTTTACCTGGTCCTAAACCACATCTGTATAAATACCAGGAGGCTTGCAACATTGCTGTGCCTTTTCTGATCATTCCAAGATTTATTTATTTATGCAGCTGTCCTGTAGCATCTGCTGAATTTGTATTAGGCGAAAATAGAGTTTGCCAGCATCCGTGAGCAGGCCAGATGGTAAGAGAAATCTTCAAATGAGTTTGCCAACAGGATTTTTGTGGGACGCTACGCAGCATCTTACATAAAAAAAAAGTGATATCACATAAACTCATTGAACATTCAAGGAAGAAGGGGAGGGAATGTTATCCGAGGAAACATACAAAATTGTACATCCTTGCATAATATATTTTAAAACGGAACTAGGATGTGGTTTTTTTGAAAGGCTGGGAGGTTTCTAGATTCCAGCAATGTTTGCAGCGGTCAGGATCAGAGTGGTGAATTCAAACAGTTCTGACCAGTTCTGGAGAACCAGTAGAGGAAATGTTGAGTAGTTCAGAGAACCGACAAATATAACCTCTTGACTGGCCCCACCCTCCCGATTCTATTCTCTGCCTCCCGAGTCCCAGCTGATCAGCTGAGTCTTCTTTGGTTGCCCTGCACAGGAGAAGGGAGCTGGAAAGCAGGGTAGTGGGGTAAACAGTTAAACAGATAATCAGAGTTGGAAGGGACCTTATAGGTCATCTAGTCCAGCCCGCTGCCCATGCGGGAGACCCCACACCATTTCTGACAAATGGCAGTCCAATCTCTTTTTGAAAGTCTCAAGTGATGGCGCTCCCATCACTTCCAAGGGCAACTACTGTTCCATTGGTTGATTGTTCTCTCTGTCAGAAAGTTTCTCCTTATTTCCAGGTTAAATCTCTCCTTGTTCAGTTTCCATCCATTATTCCTTGTCTGGCCCACAGATGCTTTAGAAAATAGATTGACCCCTTCCTCTCTGTGGCAGCCAGGGATGGGATGCTACCAGTTCGCACCTATTCGCTAGAACTGGTTGTCAACATTCTAAGCAGTTCCGAGAATCGGTTGTCAGAAGAAATTACTGGCCTAATCCTGTAAGGAAGGCAGGAAGGAAACATTCTGGTGTTGCTTACAGAAACTGCCTCTCCATTAACCCTTATTACATTCTTGGCAGGACTAGACTGCCTGTCTCAGGAACTTCTCTGGAGTTTTCTTCCCCTCCTTTGCTGGTACTTTGCTTGTGTGGAGTGACCATTTAAAGTTACAATGGCACTGAAAAAGATGACTTATGACCATTTTTCACACTTACGACTGTTGTAGCATCCCCACAGTCATGAGAGGCCAGGCGAGGAGATGCGTGCCTCGACGTGAGTGATATTGAATTGGCCACGCCCAGCCAATAACATGACCACCAAGCCATGTCCACCCAGTCACATGACCACCAAGCCATGCCCACCACCTAAGCCACGCCCTCAGAACTGGTTGTTAAAAATTTTGAATCCCACTCCTGGTGGCAGCCCCTCAAATATTGGAAGACCGCTATCATGTCTCCCCTGGTCCTTCTCTTTACTAGACTAGCCAAGCCCAGTTCCTGCAACCGTTCATTGTATGTTTTAACTTCCAGTCCCCTAAA